GACTTTCCCTTGAATTTTGTGTACTGGCAAAATTTAAAAGAAAGTAGTCTGGCAAGACACCAGTGAAAATACGGAAAATATGTTTCACTGCAGTGAAAAATAAATTTTTACAGTGAAAATACGGAAAATGAACATACGCATTTTATTTCATCAATATTTCTCAATATTTCATTTATAAGTATATAATAAAACAAGATATGACATTGTTGTAGTGAACTCTTGGTTAATAAATTTACATTTCGAGGGTCATATTCATAAAGCTCCAAAAAGGAAAAACTTTCCTTTTCCCTAAAAATCTAAAGATAAGCATTTTTTTCCCCTTAAAACTAATGTTATGTGCTCTACGGATATAGCCCCAAAATTGTAATTTTAAATGTATTGTATTGATACAGAAAATGCCAGAGAGGTGTTCATTAATTTAGGATTGAAAATGTATATATTTTGTACATACAGCAACATTCCCATGTTTCAGGGGGGTGTTAGGTACATTTTGTATTTTGCTCGGCCAAAGTTTAAGTTAGCCATATCTGTTAAAGCCATCAAATTTAGAAGATTTTAGTTGTTCATTGTTCCAAGTAAGTTGTTTATTGTTCCAAGTCCCGTTTTTCTGAACTATTGTGTCATATATAAGGAAACCAGAGAAAAGAAATGTAAGTTTTCTTATTATGAGAATAGCGTGAATTATATGGGAAGACTATACTGCAGCCACTATGTATAATAATAAACTTTTAAAAAAAGATTTTTTGTGCAAATCCTTGGAGGGAAGGCTATTTCATTTTGTTAACCTTCATTCTGTTTGAATAGAACTTCAGACATGAATTTAAATTTCAGCATCTTCACCACCCTTGTAATACATTCTGACCTATATTTGAAATTGTTAGCTAGAATAGCATTCAGTATGATAATTATGTAATGTTGATCTTTGATTGAAAGTTTACTTGTATATTTTGAATCATATCATTGAATTTCAGTTTTTGAGCAGGTTTCAGTATAGAAAATCATTTCCAAGAATTTAGATAGGTTTTGTAGGATTGCTGTTTAATAATAGTGCTCATTTTATGTAATTTGTGTCATCCATATTTTGCACTTCCTTTGGAGAATTTTTCAGTAATATTAAGACATTTGAGCATTGTTCCTTGCTTTTAAAACATTTGAGTATTTTCTTGATTGAAAGACCTAAATGTCCTTATAAGAATTCTGTGCAAGTGAATAAATTGTTAGCCGCAACTGATTCTACCCATGTGACCAGTGAAGACCAAGATTAGCTGGCACTTCCATTGCTGGCTCAGATCATGGTCTGCATTGATCGCTGTTCAGTCAGTACATATTTTAAAAAAATATTCCCTATAAATGATGAATGGTTCTGTCAAGATTGAAAGGTGAACAAGTCCATTTAAGATAATTAGGATGGTAAAGGTTTCATTGAAAAAGTTGTTCTGTTACATTTATTGATCAACGTTTAGTGTACATCTGATGAATGACTTAAAATGTTAAACAATATTTTTACCTGTATCAAAACAAAGTAGATATCACTTACAAAATATAAAGTGCTTCCATTAACATTTTATTTTGATCTAATACATTCAAAGTGCTTAATTTTGTTGAGATGTTTTTGTTGTGTATTTTTGATGCTAGTATTGTGAAATTTATGAGGTATAGATATTAGGGTTTATGAAAAAGAAAACTCAAGTTTTTTTGTATATCAAAACTTTGGCTCTTTTTTTAGCAAAATTATTATTAATGATAAATATTTCAGGCTTATATACAGTAGAACAGGCCTATCCAGCCTGTCTTTGTAGCCATATTAAGCTGTAGATTTCTAAATTTAATAATAGATGGACTGTTTGGAAGCGGCAAAGCCAGGAAATTTATAATTGTAATGGTAAAGAAGCAAACTTGCTAAAACATACATAACATGCTTACATTTATACTTACATTTTAACTTGAGCTTGCTGGTGTTAACAGATTCTACCCATGCAACCAGTGCAGACCAAGATCAGCCGACCCATCTATACCGTCTGATCGTGGTCTGCACTGTTCCCTATTTAGTCAGAATATATTTTTGAATTTTTCTCTAAAAATCATGAATGGTATTGTTTAGATAGAAAGATGGACAAGTCCATTTATAATATTTAGGGTGTTACGCGAACAGTAAATCATAATCATCAAAAGCATTTAAGGATCTTTTTAGCACTTATAATTTTGGCTTGCTACATTGAATATATACGAGTATTTACAGACGCTGTAAATAAAGATAGATAAAACTTATTTATTTTATGGACAAGGTGTTTGGAATGTATTTATATTATGGACAGCCTTAGCCTTCACTTATCTTGTTAATATCTTATGTTATTTGTGATATGTTTATTGTAGCCTCTAAGTCTGAATAAAATTTGAAATTTTTAATAAATATGTGTATTGTTTTATTTCTTTAGCTCTCACCGAAGCATATAGTGATGAAGTGAGATTTAGGGATACGTTTAAGGACCCACTCCCCTCCTGCACAGTCATTCACAATTTTTGTTTGCCTGCAAAATAGCAGCTTTGCATTTCATATGATTGGATAATGAATAACATCTTTGTTACTTTCTGAAATCAGTCTGAAAATGATACAGTATATTGTATGACAGAGTTGTGGCCCCTTAAAGTGCCAGCAATTTCATATTCAGCATAACCATGCAAATCATCATGCACATTACAAAAAAAATAAAAAAAATACAAAGGACGAAAGTAAATTCATGTAAAGTCAAATTATTCCTTTTTATGGCCCTGCAATGAATAAAGTGAGGAAGGTCTCAATTTTTACCCTGTCTGTGTGCATATAATTTGAATGTAGTTCAACATATTTACATTGTCATATATCACACAGTTCTAGTTCATATCTTTGTCCTATATTATATAATTTATCTTATGTAAGCAAGCTTGAAATAAGTAATGGGAAGCCTAAATGGAACAGCGAGTATTCCTTCTTCACTGTCAAATATTATGAGGTTATGCATTGCTGAGTAGAATTGGTACTGTACGAAATAATGTACATGTATTATGACCTCAATTTCACATCATTTAACAATTTGACAGAACTCTAAAGAACGCTCATTGCAGACGACATCCAAACACATTCATCAGTAGTCTGGAGTTCCTTCTCCTAATACTATGTTATAGTCTGATTCCCGGTCTACATTAACTATGAAAAGTAGTAAAAGGGGAAAGAACTCCAGACTACTTTCCGTAAAAATGTAGGCAGGGAACCAGACTGTCATCAGGTGCTTGATGATACAGAATATGGAAGATAACTCTGTATAGAGATTCTTTGAGTACAATATGGTTTTGACATGGAAAATGTAAACTAGGCTATATGGAGTACAATATTAATTTCATATGGATATTTTTTATCTTGTGGTAATGAAAAGGAAGCTAAAACGATTGGGTCTAATAATGATTTATATTGGTTTAAATGCAGGAAGGTTATTCCTTACATTTTATAAGGTACGATATAAATAAAAGTTTATACTAAAATAAAAATGAATCCACTTTCTTTCCTATCATAAGTGATAACAAAAGCTAGTATAAAATCTATTAGTTTATTAGACTTTTTTACTAGATATTTCATTTAACTATAGTTGATACATCCCTTGTTTAATATGAAAAACTGAAATCGTCATAGTAACATAATGAATAAAATTCAACAAGATATCTTACAAACATAATTACATACTGTTTTAATAAACTTTATACATTCAAATACAGACTACCTTCTATCAAACGGTATGGTATATGAAAATACCATTGTTTTCACTACTGTATGTCATAGGTAAATAAATCATTCAGTCCAGATATGTTAACATCTGAAAATGTGTATTTACTTTTTCGTTGTTTGTGAAATTTCAGCATATTGTATTTCTATCACCATTCAAACCTTTTTCTAGCTACACTACACTAGTGTTCATATATCTACATACAGTATATTAAAACAGCAACAAATTAAGATCACCAAGTATGTTTTTATGATTTTTTCATTTTATAAATTAATGTCAAGCTTTGCCAGTTACACTGGATACTTGCTGTATTGAAATCATTAAAATCAGTAATAACAGTTGAAAGATGGTTAGTCTTTGTCATCAGTAAAGAAACCAGGCCAGCTTGCAAGTCTGTGCAGTCTGACCAGGCTCTATACTGTTGGTAGGTCAATTTTCCTATTTCCATACTGAAATCCCTAACACTTTGAATGGACTGGCCCAAATTTCAAAGCTGGGCAAATCCATTTTACAAATTAAGCAAGGTGAAAGGTTAAGAGGTACTGTAATTATCATAACATTTAAATCTGTACAAAAAATATAATCATATAACAATTGTTGCATATATCATAATTACTGTGAACGATATCTATTTAAAAACAGCATGATCCACTTTCAACCCATTTTTTTCTCTCAATATTTTGTAGAAGATATTTGATAATGAATACAAAATCCAAATTCAAACAAGGATTTTGATTGGTTAATTTTTTTTAAATATAACAAAGTAATGTATTTCATTTGTATAGCGTAACAAACCTTTAGAAAAATTGGACATCACATATTGTAGACAGAACATTGCTGAATAGAATCAATAAAGGGATTCATTAAATCATTTTAGATTTAACATATCTCATTTGTTACAAATCATGATATTGACAATACATTTTATCATTATTCATAATACAACAACATACTTCTAGCACTAGTTTTCTTATGTAAGTCATATCTTACAATTTGTTTCATACAAAAAAAAAGAAAGAAAAGAAATATACAATTTAATACAAATGATCAGCTGTCCAGTAAAGGGAAATAATTCTGGATGTAGTCAGGCTCTTCAGCAGCAGGTAAATAACAAACAGAAGAAAACAAGGAATGCTGAAGAGCCTGTTGGTGAAAAAATCAAGAGAAGATGTTCCATGTATTTCCCAGCTTAACTAGGAACACTGTCTGTTGCCATAGAAATCAAGAGAAAGTGTTCCATATATTTCCCAGATTAACTAGGAATGCTGGAAAGAATGTTGCCATAGAAATCACGAGAAAACGTCTTATTTATATCGCAGATAAAGTTCATGTTTACAGAGATATGATATATAAATGTGGCAACACACACACAATAGGCACTGGAATGTATTGATGTTGTATATTTATCCACACTCTTGTTTCACTGTCTTTAAGATAAGGTTGGTTTGATAAGTCAGGTAGTTTGCACTCAGGAACACACTCTGGTTCCTATAAAAAAAATACACATAAAACATAAATCATTACACACACATGTTCTTTAAAATATAAGTAATATGTTTATTATTATACATTTTTAACAACCTGAGTGAAAGTTTCAATAACCTGTGATATACATGTACAATATTTACAACCTGAGTAAAAGTTTCAATAACTTCAGGTATACATGTTCGATTTTTGTCTCTACTGTGAAAGGTTTTCACTCATAATACAAAAGTTTAAAATTTGGGTAATCTTAGCAAATGCAAGATTAGTTGAGTTTAAAGTCACGAGTCACTGCAACAGTAAAGCATTACTGGGGAACAAATAAGATGTCCTATGTGCACATTATAATCGTCTGTAGCGGACGCAGGAGTAGAACCATCAGCCTAGAATAAGCTAGCTGGACTTCCGAAGTCCAATATCAGTTTTTAATATCTCATACATTTTTATCCCACAAACAGAAAGAACAGGGCAATACCAACCAAACAATACACCTTAATCCCCAAATGCAAACAGTTGTAGGTTTATATTACCAAAAACGCTTAATGAATGTTTTATTAAAACAACCTTTATACACAGCCATTTTAACTGTCAACTATCTTTATAACAAATCTATAATACAGCACAATTACTTTATTTCAGGGAAAATGAAAATAACATCAACAGCTTTGTCTATAAATTATATAAACATCAAGGTGGTGGAAGTTTTCACTCCAGATCATGAAAGTAAGCCTCATTGAATTTACCAGAGCACAGTTCAGTCACCCCATCGTTTCTAGGCAGGCTGCCAAGCTATTACCAGTACTTGCCTCCACTTACGCAAGTAACTGATAAACTTCAGCACATGCCAGAACAGAGGTACAGTGTAAATGATCATAGAAAATATTTCATGATCAATCACAATAAAAGTGACCTGTATAAACCTGGGTTGCCTGATTCACAGTTTAATGCTCCTGTTGAGCTAAGGGGACGACTTTGTCAATATTATCCAATGATATATATTATATATAATAGCATTTTAAATACAATTATAAACTTACTGGTTTGTATCACGAAAGAATTCTTTCAATGTGTTGCTGAACTTTTTGGAATATCTCACAAACTCTTTCTTCCTGTCTTCCAATATCTACAGATAAATTTATCAGAAACATTATTATTCCTGAAAATAGTTAATTTTTACACATGTCAAAAAACACCTATGTTATACCTACATATCCCCAGATGAGTTGAAGGGTAAAAGGCTATCTTATGAAGCTTTAAACAGAAAAATAATATGGTTTTCATAATCTTTAAGTCAATTTTCAAGAGTTAAAACAAAGAGTCATAATTTGTTATGAGCCTTGTAGTTTTAGAGTTACCAACTTTACCAACAAAGTTTGACGCTGATTTTAACATCAATGCCTTGGTGTGCACAATAGGGTAAGTTAGGTAAATTTGGTCTTAAGCAAAAGTTACATTTCCTCAGTGAAATACTCTAGAAACAAGAAAAGATTGCAGGACTGCATTAAATTTGCTAGATATCTGAAGTAAAAACAGCCTTGGCATACAATGTGTGAGTAAATGAATATAAGATGACCAATACCAACCTGTTTGCTTCCATTTTCTGATGAAGGTACCTCACTTATCACTCTATTTACTGCATCCAATAATAACTTTATAGCACTTGCTATTTCTCTGTAATTAACAAATAGTCAACAATGTAAATACCATAGAAAATAACATATTCCATCTACATTGTATTTTAATTGTTTAATTTTGTGTAACGCTGATGCTTTTTAACTAAGTAATACACATGGATAGTTTTTTTTAATTTGTGAACAAAATAACCAAATGTACAAATAAGAGTATTATTTTACTCTACTAAGGACAGGTTCATTATTTTTATTGGGTTTTACATTGCACCAACACAGTATATATCACATGGCGACTTTCCAGCTTTATTGGTGGAGGAAGACCTTATGTGCCTTTTTGTCTGTTATTTCAGACACAAACATTCCTTAATCTAAAGATAAAAGCATTTCTGAGGCATAATGGGCCTTTAAGGTATGAAAATAATTTGATTTTACAGTTTTTGAAATTCTATGACATGCAGCATTTTTTGGATATTATAGCTACATACACTTAAAATATTCAGAACCAATTGCTTACTTTATAGTTTCAAGGAACTGTTTTCTATCATAGATTTGTTCTGGAATTCTACTCAGTATTTTCTTTAAATGAACAGCACATCTATTTAACTCCTGGAATGTATGCTCAGGTCTAGTAATACGTAAATCTGAAATATAAAGATAAATTCAATAAATTCAACTATAGTCACTAGAAAAAACCTGCTTTGAGGACAGTATTTTAACAATTTTACTTGCTTAGTTTCATCTGACACCTACCTAAAAATTTCTTGTCCTTTCATTTTTCTTGTTCACAAAGAAAACGAAAAATTTAATTTTAGTTTAAGTACTGTAACTCATTTAAATAGATAATTCACTGTACAAATCAGATGGGTTAGACAATAACAGAAGTATATGCACTCTAAAACATTCAAAACAAGTTCATAAATAACAAAACTATGATAAAATTTCCCAGAGCAAAAAAAAAAAAAAATTGACATGAAGTTTAAGGTCATTTAAAAGGTCATGGTCATATAAATTTCAATATGCAAAAATGAAGCTATTCCAGACTAAAAGTTATGTTGTTTACAAAGTATGAATGCTTAAGCTTTATAGAATTAAGATTTAATGGAATAAGTTTAAATTTTATGCTGCGATAGGGAAAAGACATGTACCCAAAATACACCCCCACTTTCTCAAGAATTTTATACAAATCTCCAATTAAACTTTTACCACCTTTTCAATCAATTACAGTTCTTTACTTTTCTTGCATATACCGATACAAAATATAGATTTACCTTCTGACTCAGGTGATCCTCCTAGCCTCAGTAATGTCTCACTGATATCAAATTTTTCATGTAGGTCAGCCTTTCTCAATAATCCTTTTGTAAAGTCATATGTGAATCCTGGTAAATTTGAGTCAACCTTGAAAATAAACAAACACTTTAAAGTAAATCAAAACTGTTACTTATAAAAGCAAGAAAGTTTAGTCCACCTGTCCAGATTTTAAAATTTTTTAAATTATCATTTTTATTTTTTTTCAAGCATACTAAAATGTTAAAGCTTTTAATGTTCAATATTACATATGCATCTCTTACAGCTGAAAAGTAGTCAATTTCAATAAGTGACTTTTAAGACCCTCAGACAGTGCTCAGATTGATTGATCAGGATATTTTGTCTAGCTAACAAGTTGTCTTTTGTCAATAAGATGTTCTCTTCATATGAACTCTCCCACTTTTAGCGAGAGACTCCCACATATTTTCAAAGATTGTATTTTCACAAATTAAAGAAATCTCCCTATTCTTGATGTCAGAACTTCCTTCTTTGTTTATTGAAAATTTTAAAATTTCCCTGTTTTTGAAGAAAAACCTCTCACTTGATCATCGAAAAAAGTTCACATGTATGCATTCTCTTTGTACCACTTCCTTAAAGTTAACTAATGACTCCTTGATTGATTGGTCAGCACAATTTGTGAATGAAGGAAGTTTCAACGATCATTACCTTTGTAAAAGCTGCTCTTAATGTCTGTGAAGCAGCAAGATCCTTCTTTTCCAGCTGAAAATATTACATCAAAATAGTGAAGAAGTAACCAAAAGGAAGCAATTTACACATTACTGTCCATGTAAATTACCAAAAAGAAGTCAAAATATGCAAAATAGCATATAACATGTTAATTATTTATGGAATCTCTGTAACTTTTACTTCTCTTAAAATCTTAGTACATTTTTCTCAAGTTTAATTTTCTTGAAATACTTTGACACATCTGGAGGCATGCAGCTTTAATTATCATTATGATTGAATTGTAAACATACTGCCTACATGATATTTAGTCCACACCGAGTCCATTTCATTAAATAATAAACAAATACTTCATATCTCTAGAATGTGGAATCAAAATAATGCATTTTTTAAAGTGTCAGAAAACATTATCATTTTGACTGTTCAATATCAATATATTCTATGTGTTTAAATTTAATACAATGAAATAGAATATTATAATAAGTAAATGATTTGATCTGTTATAAAATAAGTAAAGACCTACCCTTTCAAATATTGGTGCCAGGACTACATCACCAATCATTTTGGCATACAATGTTTTATTACTGTCACTCATGATTCTGTTTCAACAATCTTCTCCTTATACCTCTGAAATGAAAATCTTTCAATTAATATATCACAGTGGTATCACTACAATATTGTATTTGTATGTTTAATTTCTCAGGTAAATTAAATTAGTAATTCACAAAATTCCAAAGATTTTGTCATATAAACTTTTATGCAGGTCTTGAAAAAGTCAAATTGGGATAAAGAAGGCAATGTTTTAGCATGCCTGAATATACCGGTATGCCACAGTATATTGCCCACCCTTATTACCCAACAATTATGGCTGAGTCTGTAAATGAAATGTGAAACTTTTTAAAAGATCCCTAGTTGTTCAATTGGATTATTAGATACATAATCTGTAGATTTGGTGAGCCTGGACTTAACCTTTTTATTTTACTATGATTTCTTTTGTCACATTTTTTTTAGTGAAATGGGATCATGTTTACACATAATTGTTATTGTATATGACGCCATATATGCTGTGATAAACCTAAGCAAGTTAAGGTTTTATCCAACTCAACTGATGTTTTAAATACATTTAATGATTTGAGCCGCGGCACGACAAAACCAACATAGTGCGTTTGCGACCAGCATGGATCCAGACCAGCCTGCGCATCCGAGCAGTCTATCAGAATCCATGCTGTTCGCTTACCAACCCTTTTACAACTAGAGAATATGAAAGTGAACAGCATGGTTCCTGATTAGACTGAGCAGATGCGCAGGCTGGTCTGGATCCATGCTGGTTGCAAACGCCCTATGTTGGTTTTGTCGCAACGCGGCTCAAATTTTGTTAATAAAAATCTTCATTTTATGAAATATTTATTGTAATATTGAAATAAAAGTACAATTTATAGAAATTATAATTGATAAGACATTAACAGATTAATCTGGGACATACGATATCGTATGTCCCAGGATTAATACAGGATAAGTGTCATTTCCTGTCACGGTCCACCTTGTACAAAAATACAGTTCACCCGTCCTGATTTACTATTCTTGGTACGGTACAACCTGTCACATGGTTCATTCTGACAATTCAAATTAAATTAATTTTACGGCAAATAAGACTTATTGATAAAGCCTAAAGGGGAGTAGTCAAAATATATTGACGTGCAAAAGCTTGATTCTGAGATATTTTCGTTCTAGGGCAGAATCTCGCTTTAACGAGATATTGCCCAAAAACGAAAATAGCACAATATCTCGTCGCGGAGTACAATTAGTTGGACTAAAAGGGGAGTAAAGCTACATATGTAGGGGGTGGAGTATTTAAATCAGCACTGTTTTCTAATCCTATACATTATTTTCTAAAAACTTAAAAGACTAAACCCACATAAGAAAACATGTGTACATCTTTGAAATGAACGGTAGAATATCTAACAGGATAAATAATTGGACCACACCTCAAGAAATTTTAATGACTTCACAAACAGGTGAGATAAAAAATGAGATTTTTGTGTGGTATGCCATCAGTCACTTAAAGGTCCCACTTCTCATTTACCTGGTTAACAGATTATATTTGCTCGATGTAGCAGTATTTCTCTATTCGAACATTTTTGTCTCAACAAAAATAGTAAAAGTAAACAAAACAAAATCTAAAATTTGTTGTTCTTCCTCATTGAGCACCTCCGCACTGAAGAGTTGTTTTAACATTTCGTACTTAAAACATTTCGTTCCAATAGAGCAAAGTTTTTTTCCTTAAATAAATTTATTAATATCAAAGTGCATATTTATAGCAAGTGTAATTTCATTTATTGTCCTTATGTTTATCATTTTCAAATTTGCACACAAGAGGTTAAAACATAAATCAGTTACACCTGTCAAGATCGTGATATTTACACGTCGTCTACTTTCACTTTATCAAAAAAGATGGACAAGGTCAAGATATTGGATGGTGGTGCTGCGGACGAACTTATAATACAAGGAAAAAAGGAAATTTATGTAAGTATAAAAATAAGGAATACTTCCTAAACGAATGGGCACACTATAATGTTTGATCTCTTTGTATTTTTTAATAAATATTTTGTTGTTGTCTAATTATCAGATTTAAATACATGTATATGGGATGCAAACAAAAGAGCACATGTCAATGTTCAAATCTATTGTTATTCAAATTGAAGGTCAGAGTAGGGATCTATCAATTGTGCCAGAACATTTTCTCTTTTTAATAATTTTGGAGTTATTGCCCTTTCCAATTTTTTTTACATAATTTTTGTATTGGGCATTTGAATTTTTTAGATTGATAGACTGAGTGACAGATCACATGGAGCAAAAATGCAGACTGTCTAAGAACCATAACTATTTTTGTATAATTTTAGAGTTATTGCCCTTTGCAGTTATTTCAGCAAGGAGAATATTAAGCATATTTTGAAATGTTTTTAATTCCAAAAAGATAATAATAATAAGAACAAGAGACAAAAAACAAGACAGGCATTACATCATTGAATGTTTAAAGTTCCTTTACTTTTTATATGCAGCTTCAGTGTCAGGATACAGTATTGCATTTAATTATTAGTACATATTTCTAAATTTCACCATTGCTGTTATTTTTCAGAAAAAATAATGGCTTGTGATTATAATGACTTATTGCTACACTCACTGTAACAGCTAACGTCTTGGAATGTTTGGATTTTTAGGGATCCGTTGTTTTTGTATATGAATTTATATAATAATTTACACAGAACAGAACATTATAGTTCTATATGTATATCTCATTTTCAGGAAGATCCACTTTGGACGGCAGGACTTCTCCACACAGATCCAGAGTCAATATTATCTCTTCATAAAAGGTATGTAGGGCCTATTATCTTAACCATATTGTCTCAACTATATTATCTCAACTATTTTGTCTTAACCATATATTATCTCAACTAAATTATCTCAACCATACTATTTCAACCATATTATCTCAACTGTATTATTTCAACCATATCCCAACTGTATTCTCTCAACCATACTATCTCAACCATATTATCTGAACTGCATTATTTCAACCATATTATCTCAACTTTATTATCTCAAACATATTCCAACTGTATTTTCTCAACCATATTATCTCAACTGTATTATCTCAACCATATTATCTCAACCATATTATCTCAACTGTATTATCTCAACCATATTTTCTCAACTGCATTATCTCAACCATATTATCTCAACTGTATTATCTCAACCATATTATCTAAACCATATAATGTCAGCCATACTATGTTAACTGTATTATCTCAAATGTTTTATCTTAACTGTATTATCTCAACCATATTATCTCAACTGTATTATCTCAACCGTATTATCTAAACCATATAATGTCAGCCATACTATGTTAACTGTATTATCTCAAATGTTTTATCTTAACTGTATTATCTTAAACATATGTCATCCATACTATCTCAACTGTATTATTTTAACTGTACTTTATCTAAACAGCATTTTCTCACTAGCTGTGCATTTAAGTCGCACAGTCGTTTATGATTTTATTTCCCTTTCTTGAACTACCTCAAGCTCAAAATGGACGCTTAAGATTTCGTAGTGGGGCAAGTACATTGCACAGATCCAGCAAAATGTCAGAGTCAAATATGATCAACATAATTTATCCCAGACTTAATTGCTTGCTGAGTAAAATCTTTGCGTAATGAATCCTTTGGGTAATACAAAATGATATTTTACAGATCAATACAATTCAATAATTATGCTTTACAGTCATGTTTTTCATTTCATTTTAATATTTTTTTTTGTCTGCACTGTTTTGTTAGTTTATACAGAATTTATTTTAGTTTGATTGTGTTAGAAGATATAATTTTATAAACACACCCTCCAATTGGTTCCTGGAACCAACCAGGACTGAGCAATGAGTCTATAGATTCTTGCTTGAGCAAACAACAGCTTGTCTCTGTTTTGTTCTGATTATCACTTTGTTTGAATATTTGATTAATCAAAACTTTTAACTCTGCAGTTTTCTAAAGGCAGGAGCAGATGTTATACTGACGGTCAGTTACCAAGCATTTATAGATGGATTCATGAAACATCTCAGTATAACTGAAGATGAAGCCATAGGGCTTATCAAGAAGAGTGTGTACCTAGCAAAACAAGCCTGCAAGGAGGTGGCACAAGAAACTGGTAAAATATTTTATATCATCCATGAAAAATGTTTGGCTTTGATTAAGAATCTTTCTTAAATTAAGTTTGACCTTAAACATTTTAAATTTGTGTCCAAGTTTATAGTGTTAAGTCAGGACTAATAAAAGGTCAGTGCAAGAAAATATGCTTTTAGCAGGATGTAAGTATGTTGGTGAATTTCTGTTTAATAGATACAAAGTTGACAGTTATTTATAAATTTCTCAGTTATATAAACCTTATTGTTGGATTTATCCTGTTTTCAATTTAGAACAGTCCATATGAAGTTTTAGGGATTTCAATGTCAAATAAGAAAATAATAAGCTACCGTATAGAGCCTGGTCAGACTGCATGGATGACCAGGCTGGCCTGGTTCTATACTAGTGGCAAAGACTGATCTTTTTTCATATTTAAGTATCATTTTATTTCCACTTTTGTTTCAGAGATGTTAATATTGTATATGTCAGCAGATAATATAAATACAACGGCTGTTTTTACTACATTAAAAGTAAATATTTTTATGTTAATTTGACTCATGAATATTCAAACTGAAGTGCCTTAATGATAATACATATCTTTTTGCTATTTATTGAAATATAAGGGTCAAATATTAGGTACAGTATAGACCCTATGTATGTCATGAAGATGAGAACATTTATAATTTTGCTTATTTCATACATTTTATAAATGACACGAAGGACATGACAAGAAATAAATACAGTTTAATCTATGTTAAGATAAAAAAAACACAAAAAAAACTTACAACACTTGTATGTCAAGGATTTCTGTGTGCAGTTTCCTTAGTTAATTGGAAAGCTCACATTGCAGAAAAACTAATCAGTTTAGGTAATGATGCACCCATGAGTACTTGTTAAAATAAAATAATATAATTGGTAATCCATACAAATTTATGTTGGTTCCAATTCGCATCTAATATTCAGGAGAATGAATGAATTCATACGGAATATTAAACGTCTATTTTTAGCCATGACTTTGTTGATTTTGTCAGACATTTAAATGTTATATTCTTTAAAATTTGATAAGCAGGAAAGTAATTAAAAAAAATTGTTATAATAAAGTTCTTAGAAAAAACACATTGTCTGATGATGACTTGCATATTATGTCTGTAAAGTGTTTTAAAATCTAACTATAAATATCAAAGTTAGAGCTGCAACATAAAGTAAGTATAGGGAACTAATCATGAATAGAAGTTAAAGTGTTAGAGTTACATTTCTTGCATTCAACACCTCATCATGATTTGGTTGCCATGTCCCCCAAGTCATTTAAAACTCCAACCATAAATGGTAAAGAAACATTGCAGATACATTATCTAGGTGAACAGACAGGTGGACACACAAAATCAGCAGACTGGTACCCTGCCAAGAGGGAAAAGGTTGGAGCATAGAAATGCATTATTGCCATGTGCTTTATCTCTAAACATTAACTACAAGGTTAAAATGTAAATATTTCAGGTGAAAAGGAAGGTCAGGTGGCAGGCTCAATTGGTCCATATGGAGCATGCCTACATGATGGTTCTGAGTACACAGGCAAATACATGGATACTGTATCTATACAGGTATTTATATATCCTTAAAACAATATACAATACAATACAAAATTTTATTCAGCATAAAACATAAACATATGTTTAGAGCCAATACAAACAAAAATGTTCAGCGACAGACATGACAAAAGAAATGAAATTTTATCCGAAGAGAGTAGTTCAAATTACATAAACAATTCTCACAAACTGTCTAGATATACAAAAAAATACTAAATATATTGTTACATATATATATTTAAAAAAAAGTTCTAGTTATTAAGGAAAAAATATAGTTAGTAATAAAGATATTTAAATTTAGAGAGTGTATTATGAGATGCGGTTTTTCATTGCAAAATAAATATATTTGCTAAGTTCAGTAGAACAGATTTAGATTTTGATGACATTATTTTTTCGAATTTAGTGATATTTGGCCAACGACAATAATATTGTTTAAAAAATTTACTTCTTAAGTCACGGTGAAATGGACATACTAGCAAAAAATGGTACTCATTTTCAATGGTTTTCATATTGCACGATTTGCAGAGTCTCTGTACTCGTGGAGTATCATTATATCTTCCAGATTCTATAAAAAGATTATGTGATGAAGTTCTAAATCTTGACATAGCAATTCTATATTTCTTATCAGTAATCACTTTCAGATATTCTCCTAATTTGAATTCATACTTAAAGACACAATATGACTGTAAACGATTGGAGTTATTGATATCAGAGTACCATTTTTGTAAAAAGTTATCAATAATTCTCTGTTTAATCAATGCAAAAGGAATATCGATTTCAAATTGATCATTTCATACATACAATACAATACAATACAAATACTTTATTCACTTTAAGGCCTCTGGCCCATGCAAAAACATATATACAGAGAAACAATTAACACAAAATTATAGCATGTGCACAATGTTTAAACATATACTATATAAATTTAACTGAAAATAACTTTTAAGCATAAAATTTTTTTTCTGGGAGTTTCTTAATTATCATTTTGTATCTAAGACATATTAATTGTTTAACTTCCTTTTTTCAAAAGCGTAATACAAAAAATGTTGCTGTACCCTTTATAAGATCATCATTTTTTGTAGACATTAATATATTAACTTTGTTTCAGGTTGGAGCATTTAGGTACTTAATCGGTAAATATAATTTTCTAAGTTCTGAATAAAAATCACAACATAGTAAAAAATGAAATTCATCTTCTATTACATTCTTAGAACATTTTATGCATAATCTGTTTTCCCTCAATATCTTTTTATGTCTACCAACCTCAATTTCAAGATCATGTGACCCTATTCTAAAATTTGAGTATATATATCTAAATTTTCTAATGTCTAGAACATCTAAATAACATTCATATGAGAAATTTTCCTTAAACATACCATAAAAAGACAATTTTACATTAGAGGTTACAGATGAATGCCACTCTTGTAGGTATATATCTTTTAACCTATTTTCAAATTGTGCTATAAAGTATTTATCTGATGTAACATGTTCCATGTTCTTGTAAAATATTTTTTATTTGAAAAGCCCAATTTTTCCCATTATATTTTAAATTACGATCTGCATCTACTTTTAAAATTAAATAGCTTCTTCTAACCAGAGCAGTATCATTCTGTTTTAAAATTTTTATCCAGTACTTAATCATATTTATTTTTCGAATGAATAACAAAGGAATTCTTCCTAATTCTCCATAAAGTGTAGATAAATTTGTTGACTTTTTTACACCCAAAATGCGTCTTAAAAACTTAGTGTGAATAGACTCAATATCCTTTGCTTCATGTATACCCCATATAAAACATTTATCACACTATTTTGATATGTGTCATTCCAAGTTAAAGCAGATATTAAGGTATGTAATGCTTTCCAAAAAGAATCTAACATCGGCCAATAATTATATTGTAGCAAATTGGTTTTTTCTGTATGGTTATTTTTTCAAAATCTTGGGCATTAGATTATTTACAATCACTCATCATTTTATCGTACTAAATTTCAGTTATAAATGGTTAAAAATTAATGAATATCGAAGATTATGAAAAATAACATTCTGGAAATTACCAATTTTTATTACGATATTGGCCGATGTTACAAAATTTTTGGGCGAGAAAGCATTGCAGTGAGACTACCTTAAGAAGCATGCTTAGGTAACTTGGATTCGCTTTAGAAATCAAGGATTTAAGTGGTTCTACTCAGGTGCTAGTTATTATATTGATGCACTGATGGATACCTCAGGTTTTCCTCCACCAGTAAAGTTTGAAAGTCTCTGTATGATCTTGAGAATGTAGGCAGGACTAAATCCCAACCATTGATGTACAAATAATGTATTAAGCATTGAGCTTTGTACATATTCCTTAGGCTCTTTTTTTATCATATGTGTAATGAAGCCATGAAATTTGTCCTGTGCCATTGATTCAAGTGACTTGTGTGGAGAAGTTTGCAATAAATGGTGTTGGAGAAAAATTTATTGAACAGAAATGAGACTGAATGACTGTTTGAATTATGCATGAATCACCAACACTGTTTAAATTATGCATGCATTACCAATACTTAGAACTCACCATGTTACTGATGGAGTGAGACTTATGTTATGAATTTCGACATACATTTGTTTTTCCAAGGATCAATAATGCTTAGAATTTAAATCACTTTACTTGTTCAAATTGACAATCATTAATCTTGAGGCTGTAAAGTATTTTCCTTGACAGTTTTTGTGTTGTTTAAACAAGATGATAAGTGTTTGAAATATTTCAGGAAATACAGAAGTGGCATTTACCTAGATTGAAAGCTTTATCAGAAGCTGGTGTAGACATGGTTGCTATAGAAACAATACCCTCTAAACTGGAGGCAGAGGCTGTAGTAAACTTGATAGAAAAACAGTTTCCAGATTTAAAAGCATATGTGACATTTTCTTGTCGGGTAATTTATCATTATAATTGTATAATAGTTGGCTAAGAGTTAATCTATAATACTAACAAAACATTTGAGCCATGTCATGACAAAACCAACGTAGTGCATTTGCGACCAGCATGGATCCAGACCAGCCTGTGCATCCGCGCAGTCTGATCAGGATCCATGCTGTTCGCAATCAGTTTCTCTACTTGTAGTAGAGTTGGTAAATCCTGATCAGACTGCGGATGCGAAGGCTGGTCTGGATCCATGCTGGTCGCAAACGCACTATGTTGGTTTTGTCGTGATGCGGCTCATTTAGTTTTATCGGAATTATAGAGTAGTAAGGGCTTATTGCCTGTCCATTTGGCTCACAATCCAAGCATAACATCTTCCACCAGTAAAGCTGGAAAATCTCCATAATGAACATTACATTGTTGGTGTGACTTAAAGTTCATCAAAATAAAAATAATCTCAATCATGTTTTTGAAATAAAATCAGCAATTATAAGATGATATTTTCATATGTACCCACTTGCACTTGGGGGAAGGCTGGGGATGCATATATTTTTTCACTTTTTTGTCCATCCAACTGTTCATGGACTGAGAAGCAATGGAATGTAGAGGCAACATGTTCTATGAACACATTTCTAGCTTCCTAAGAATTATACTTACTTGGAATTCATTTCAACCTTGTGATAATCAAAATATCCGAATTATAGTTATAATTATAAAATTTGGAAGGAAGCAAGCAACTAATGGTAATCATTATTATTTTGGTTCAATTTCAGAATGGTGAAGAAACATGCTATGGTGAGAAATTTTGTGATGCTGTTAAAGCAGTGTGTTCCTCGTGTAACGTTATCGCGGTGGGAGTAAATTGTACTGGTCCACAATATATTAACTCCCTTTTGAAGAGTTTACAAGGATTAAGTATTCAGAAGCCAATTCTTGTGAAACCAAATAGCGGAGAGTTATGGAAATCTGGGAAAGGGTGAGATTGACCTTGAGTTGTTCTATTTTATGATAATTTCTTTGCTTCAGTTTTACATAATGTTCTTTGGAATTTTGAAGCATTGTTGAAACAATTGGTCAGATTTCTCATTGAAATTGATTTCTTTAAGTTATGGTCATAGCCAGACATGAATACATGTTCCAGTATCTAAGAAATTACCAAAGTAGTTGAGTAACCAATATCATTTTGCAGAAGAGTTAATAGGGTCATAATGAGACCTTTATGTTTCATGATACAATACAACCTTTGCAGAGCAAGTACTTTTGGGAGAGAAAGGTTTTCATATAACTGAGAGGTGTTGCACTGGAGAGGTTAGATTCATTGTAAGGTCTCTTAAGGAAGAATTGATACAGTTGTTGTAGAGCTATTGATGAAAATGATATCGAGGTATCGGTGATATTTTTCTGTTGATCAATAATCGATACACATTTTAGAAAATCGGTAAATTTGATTTAATAATTGAATGTCTTGAAATTATGAAAATTTACCCAAAACAAATGCAGAAGCATACTTCCTAGCAGTGATGACAAAAAATGGTCAACAAAAATCATGCAATAGGCATTTATAAACAGGACTCATGTATGAAAAGAACACATTTTTACTGAAAGCTTTTAAACAGGTATGATAAAGAATTATAGACAAGCAGTTAATACTTAAAGTATGTGATTATCAAAATACTGTTGTATCATCAATATTTGTTGCCTGATATCGATATTGTTGATTTGCTTTGCACTGAATCAATAACAGCACTAGTTGTTGTAAAGAGGTTGCTCTACAGAGCGTTACAAAAACATAGTGTAAAGACGCGCTCAATGTTAGCGTTATACTGTAGGGGCATCAATGAAAAATGACTCTTATTTCACTTTAAACGGTCTTTATTTTTGGTATGTGATAAATAGAATATTAAATTTGTGTAAGTTCATTACTGAATTTATTGCACAAGTTGAATAAAATAATTATACTTCCAAATTCTCATATATTGTTATTGTTTCAGGTGGTATGGTAAAGAGACATGCCCGGATTTGTCTGACTGTGTACAGGAATGGATAGACCTTGGTGCATCTTGGGTAGGCGGCTGCTGTCGTGTCTATCCTTCAGATATCAAAAAAATGAAAGACAAAATTAAACAAATATATGATAAATGATTTTAACATAAGTGGTTGATAGACTATGATAGATTGCAATGAAATAAAATTTTAAAAAGTTTGTATGTTTAAACTTTTAATGATTTGGTGTCAGACAAAACTAAGCAAATATACAATAAATGATTTTTACAATAAATGATTTTACATAAGTGATTGATAGACAATGAGAGATTGCAATAAATTGAAATCTTAAAATTTTGAATTTTTAAAAAGTTAATGATTTTGTGTATACAGTGTTTTAGCGTTATGTCTTTGTGTTAATATTCCCTCTGTGTACAAGTGTTTCAAAAATACACCTTATAAATCTCGAAATATTCTAGTCAACTCCAACTTTACATAAAATAAAGGCTATAGCAATTTGCAGAACCAAATGCAATATTAGGGGATAACAGAAGGATACCTTCAATAGTAAATTTGCAAAAATCCATTATCCAGTATTGTTTTGCATACACATGAAATATTTTACTTTCGGTTTACTTGACATTGATCTTTGTTAATTGATGTATTTTATATACAAACAAATGATAAATTACTTTTGCTTATCTTATCATTAGTGCTATACAATGTGGTGGCACAGCATTTCACAAATGTTATCTTGATTTTATTATGCAGATTATTAAATCATTTTCTATACTTTCTGGATTTTTATTCAATTTATTCACCAAGCATTGAATTACTTTGAAAACAAGTTATGAACAAGAAAATATTGAACTTTGGAAATAGGGTAAGTGAGAATTTAGATACAGAGGATATTAATTGAGTGTAAGTTTAATACTGAATTTATGGAACAAGTTGAAATTATATTATGAGAGTCTGTGGCGAACATAATATTATTTTATTCAATTTTAGTAATGAACTTACATGAATTTCAAATATTCTTTTTTTTCACTGAGTCGCAAAAGTGGCATGGGTATGTGATAAATATATGGCATTTATAGTTCCTTTGTTAGAATTAAGGTATGATTTGAAAACAAATGTTATGTGTGCTTTCTAGCATGTTTATAAATAATGTGCTATGTAATAAATGTGCAAAAAATTGCAACTTTGAAATTATAACATATAGCTAAAGACCCCATAAATGTATTTGGTAAGGATTGTCTCCCAACTCCCAACATATGCTGATGTCAGCAGTTGGGTTCTTTAGAAGGAAATTGATTAAATTTATAGCTCTTAACGTCTTTAGCTAAAACAGATAATAATTGGAGAGCAGAAATATATAATAAATCAAGGTAAATCCTCTTCTGGAAATAATCCTGTGTACTCAGTGATAATTATGCAGATAAAAAGGGAAAGTATAGCTGTATATTCATCCAATCCTATATGGTCAAAGGGAAGTAACTAAAAAAACTCCAAGAAAAGTATACAATGTTGACTTCCCTTGCATTCTGCGAAATGACAGAAGTTTGTATTTCTGACTGTGATGTAGTAAACAAAACAATTATTGTCTTCAATTGCACATGTACATGTATATCAAGAGTATTACAAAAAATACATAATAACTGATGTACTTAAATGTCATTCTTAAATTCTTGAAGCAAAAAATACATGGCTTCAATAGTTAATTGATAAAAGTTTTAAATAACCTTTTTTATTTTAACACAGACACGTACGCAGAATAAAGCTCTTAAATCATTTTCTGCCAATAGTGTATCCTTCATATTCATAAAATCCCTCGAGCTACTGACATGTATATGTAGGCCCCTACTGTATATTTTTTCACGAGAAATAATATATTTAGCCATATTCTGGTACAGAATTAGTTTAAAAAAAACAACCTGTCAAATAATAAGCCTAATAATTACGTATAGATCTATGGCATTATCGGTAAAAGTGCAGATGTCTGGTAAAGGGTAACCCAAATGGCGAGAAAACATCTACATCTGTACGTTAAACTGTCAAACTTGACATTTCTTAAACAGTGCGCAAGAAAAAATAGGATAGAAAGAAAATTAAGGACACGGACACGGTGTTTGCTAGATAAAAGTCTTACAGGGATTTCAACACAGTGGCAGGGGCAGAGGTGAAAAGGTTTTTAAAATGTGGTAGTTAAGTATGTACAATGTGTTAAAAAGTACGTAAATCCAGAGACATAGATAACTATGTTATCTATGTCTCTGGTAAATCCTTGTATTAAATTTGTTATCTATAATCTGGGACGCAACATTTTTTAAATAAAACATTAAAAGGGACACAACCACGTTTTAACTGTTCTGCAATCGTATATAGTATACTATCTCCCTTTACAGCAAAAAGTTATTGAACTTGTTCGGTTACCTGTATGACGTCACAGAGGTGTTTTCCCAATTAGAATATTGGGATTTCCTAATTTATCACATTAATTAGCCATAAACAGTTATTTACCCGTGGTTTTAATTGTTTACTAAACTGACCTCTTTCGTTATTAATTCAAATCTTCAAATATTAAAGAGCACAGTAGGTGTTTCACGCCCAGGTGGACACATTAATTGATAAAATGACGTCACCTGGAATACTGTGTACATGTTCCGTGAAGCATAAACGCTTGACAATTGTTGGGTGTGCCCTAGAAGAAACAAGGATTTTCACCAGTGTTATATCGGAATTATTGACATTTTATAAGAAAATGGAGTGATTTTAAACATAAACAGGTAAATATCGTGTGTCAAACGTTATACCTTTTAAAAATTACCTGTTAATTCGGATGCGAATTCGTGTTAGAATACGCCTACCCCACCATGTTAAATTTCTATAAATTTGGGGTCACTGGGTTGGAACAAGATTTCATATACTGTATAAACTGTCAAACCCGGCATATTATAATCCTTTATTGTATAAGATATTTTGTAAAAAATAACACCTGTTACTTAAAGATTGTGTAAATCAAAGACTGTATACAAACTGACAAATGCACCTCAACAATTATTCATGTAATTTTTCAATTTTTTTTTGTAAAATTTACATTCCAATTTCTTGTCTAAAATAAAATTCTCTGAATAAGTTTACCTGTGAAATTATGTAATGTTATATAGAATGTACATTTAAAAGAGTTACCCCATCAAAGCTCAGATTACTATTGTAAGATATATTTTGCCTTGACCAATAGCATTTCACTGAAAAGGTAGCACATTTAGGTAAGTTAGAAATATCATAATAATGAATTCACCTTTAGTTGAATTGTCACTGCATAAGTTCACTAAAAAGTTGAAATTGTCGAATTTTAATAACTGTCTCAATAAATTTTGATATGTAATTCTTCCAAAATGAAAGTGTAATACATGTAGTTAAAACATGTTCATATTAAAAGTTTTTGCTCTAAGTCTAATGGACTTTACTTAACTAAGTTAAACATATTTATTTAATCTCAACAGTCAGTGATGACAACTTTTGTGTCTGCTAACTAATACTGCAGTGCTGTATGAGAAATCATATTGTTCAGTGAACCAAGATTAGTGGCTCTACACCAGCCTGTCTACACCCCATCCCTAAGGATGGTTGTGAGAGGTAGACATTCCATGATTATGCCTGACCTTATTTAAAGCACTTATACACTGGGGTATTTGTTAAAAGTCTCATATGACTGACTACAATAGTTAAGTAAATTTAATTTAGAGTACCAGAGTCCTGATGGCCTTTGAAAACGCAAACTTTTTATTGGTTTCCATAATTATACTCAGGCTTTATCATGAATGGACCATTGTGCCTTTTCTTTGTAGAGTCAATTTGATGTATGTCAGCAGGGTTGTCATTAAAGACTCGGTCATAATATTATATGTAGAAAAACTGGACCAAACATCTCGGAAAACTTTTAATGACAACACTGCATTTGAAATTTATACAAAGTCAACTTTACGATTATTAAAAAAATTGGCAGTTTTTAGTTGTCAACCATTTGTTGTATCTTAAATATTTGCCATATAATTTGAAATCAAATGACAATTCAAACTATTGAGGAGCGCTGACCTAATATGCCTGTAACTAAAGTGCTTTACATTTGACAATGGAATAATGGCCTTTATAGGTCAAGGCCACCAATTTGTATTGTATCTAAGCAACTGAAAATTGATCGCGGTTATGAAAGATGACTCTCGAACAAACATCAATATCGTTTAGCTGTAACATATGCTTACTACATATAATCAATTAAAACTTGTATTATGTATATTGTATTTATTTAATCCCAAGCATTCAAAGTGCACTGTCTTTGCTTTACGGTATATTTAACCCTGGTCAAATTTTACGGTATTATAAAAAAGACAAGGAGTGAATCCGCCATTTGCCGCGACGTTTTCGGCATGGGTTTTTCCCCTTTGGGTGTCACTCCCTATCTTTCTTTATAATACCGTAAAATTTGACCAGTTTTAAAAGACAGATTGGGTTCAATTGATAATATATTTTTTGAGGCCATATACTCAGATTATACTAAAAGATATTTAGATATAGCAGAAATGTTTTTAAAAACGGTAACAAGATCGAAAATATGCGCCGCAATCTGCTGTCCCATTCTTGAGTTCATATGATTATATAGGTAAAGAAGGAAAAGGGTTATATTTTTGGAAGTCACAAGCCAAAATCAGGAGTAAATGACTCCCAAAACTTCCACTAATGGAAGCCCTGTATATAGAAGAGATTGAGACAGAACAAAGACAAATCTATACACCTCCATTGATGTTATGAATACAATAAAGCAAAAAAATGATATATTAATAGACTCAGTATACAACAATGCAGTAAATTGTCCAATCGTTAAACAGCTGGGATAACAACTGAATAGTTGGACTGCATTTTGACCATCTGTTGGAATCTTGTGAATTATTTACAGACTTCATGTCTATTGTTTATCAGGTCCATGTCCACATTGATTACAGGAAAAACACATTAATAATTCAGTCAGTCACAGATTTTTACTGCAATCTTATGGTAAAATACCAGACTATTTCTGTTTTATCTTTATTGATTAAAGGTGCAAGAAATACAAATTATTTAAAGAAAACCAGCAACTATGACCTTATTGTTTCAGGTTGATTTTATTTGTAATATATACCCCATGCTGGTAGCTTGGTAAATTCTATGTAATAGAGCCACTTAACATACTCTGGTCTGAAATTTCTGTAATGTGCTGGACATGCAGTCTTAGAATGATGGTTACATTGGCAAATTACCAGCATGCCTTCAGATATATAATATCTGTCATATGTTGCGGTTTCGGACAGGAATATCCGTCCCGAGGGGATCCGCCCATTGGGCGGTAAGGAGGCTTGCCAAGTTACCACCCATGGGCGGGTTCCCGAGAGACGGATATTCTGATCCGAACCGCAAACATATGTCAGATATTTTTTCTTGCATATACTCTCATATTATTTCATATTTAAAATTGTTTACCTCAATATGATATATGTTCATGGAAATTAAAGTCATTTCATCCATAACTATTTTCTTACAATAGCATATGAACTTACAACTTAAATTATGAACAACAGCGAAATCATCCTAAGCACATATTTCCCTTCTAAAACAACATCATTTTAACGCTGTTCATTCATAAAGTGCGCTAAAATGACGTTGTTGTTTGGCACGCGACTCATCTGGCACCCCCCCCATGTCAGATGAAATTTCCGGCATGAGTAAATCCTACAGAAACGCCAGTCTGCTATGCAAGAATAAAGCAGCATGCCTCCAGATTCATGCTAATTTTTATTTAAATCCTGAAAATGTAGTTCAAAGTGAAATATGGTAGAGCGAACAAAGAAAGCAATTTACACATTGCAATCGGCGTGCGCTTACAATCCACGCAAATTACCAAAAACATGTCAAAATATGCAAAAAAATAGTCCCTATTGAGTTACAAACACCTGATAAATATGGTGATAGATACTGCCATTAATCAGTCCTTTATTCACACATAACATGATGAATTATTACTTGAATTACTTTTCTGAAAATCTTAGTACATTTTTCTCTTTGAAATATTTTGGCTCACTTGGAGTATGCAGCTTTAAGCATAATGTATCCTTAATTTAGTGAGCTCTTTATTAAAATGTATTGAAACTCCTGTGCTACTGAAGTAAATTTTAGATTTGTGCAAATCTATGTTGAAAGCCTTATAATGATTACAATGAAATTTGTTAACTTAAAATGTAATGTAATAAATTTAACTGCTATTAACAACAGTCATGCCTCCTTTCTGCTTTATCCCCGTAGTTAATCCAAAAGTACCCCTGCGAGAATTCCATGAATAATTCATGAACTGTTCATGAACATATTCATGGACAAGTTCATGAATGTGCATGAACAACAAATGAGACTTTTTTTCGTTCACGGACAATTCATGAATCAAGATATTCATGAACATGTTCATGAATATATGTTCGTTAACATTCATGAATATATCGATTCATGAATTGTTCATGAAAGAAAAAAAGTCTCATTTGTTGTTCATGCACATTCATGAACTTGTTCAAATGCACATTCATGAAATTGTTCATGAATATGTTCATGAACAATTCAAAAACTTCTCCCAGGGGTCAAAATAATGTGACATCACAATCAATTTTCATTTAATTCTAAGACTGCTGATTTGTACCAGCCATAAAATGCACAATAGACAGTGTTTTAGTACAAATACAAAACACAAAAGCCCATTACACAGGTAATGAAACTTGTTAAACACTGTGCTCATTGATTCCCTATGTTCAAATTGAATTGTCATTAGAATTCACGACTTGCCAGTTTGCTCTTCAATTTATTTCTTTGACACAATTTTCCATAAGATTTTATATAGTCCATTATGTTAATACATCACTTTTTCTTCATTTTGCTAAGTCATTGTTATTTATTCCATTTTTAAGTAAGTTTGCACCGAAAGTTTGTTAAAACACATGTAGAGCTTTGTTTCTGGCGGCCATGTTGACTTTTGCATTATGGGTGTTACCAAGGTCAGCCAACTCTTGTTGATGATCAGTGAGTTCATGAACTCACGAGAGTTCATGAACTGAAATTTTTCAGTTCATGAGTTCATGAACTGAAATTTTTTCTAACACTAAAAAGTATTCACATGGGTTAGAATTGTAAAGACAAATTTGTTTTTAAAGTTCATGATTATTGTCAGCTTGTTCATGAACATACCAAAATGTTCATGAACAGAGCAAGAATGATGCCAAAATGTTCATGAACACATCAACATGATCGTGAACAGACAAACATATTCATGAACTTGAATGTTCATGAATATTTGTTCATGAACATTTCTGCCAAGATGATGAACAATTGAAAGATGTTCATGAATATTCATGAACTGTTCATGAAAATTCATGAATTGATGAACATGCTTTCGCAGGGGTAGTTAGCCTTTACCACCAGTTTTGAGCCTGGACTGAGGTCAGCCTGGACTTCCATTCTGAGTCTGTCATGACTCTATACTGTATACTGTTGATACCTAAATTTTAATATTTTGAATCCGAAATGTTCAAATCCCCTAAACATCAAATGGGCTTTTCCAAAATTCAAAGCAGGGAAAATCCATTACATAAATTCAGCAGGGTAAGGGAAAATGAGATCGGTTTGAACTGCCCTGTTTTGGTCATTTAAAATAAACATAATAAGCTGTCATACCATTATTAATTTAGCTGAGATTTAAATACCTAGAGCTTAGACAATCTTGAAGCCAATGTAACATTTTGGTTTTTTACGGGCAAATCAGCAGGAAATCATTATGTCAAAAAAGAAAAAAATCGTCATAATACATGTAGTATCTATCTTAATAATTTCACATAGACTAAGTAATAGAAAGAGCATCGAAATACGAGGCTATCTGATTTGTACGAGGAGGGGGCATAGCCCCCAAGTATAAATCAGATTGCTGAGTGTTTTGATGTTCTCTTTGTATCATAGTCAAACATAAAAATACGTTCCCTGTTGTCACAATATGAAACCCCATGAAAAAGTAACCATTGATCGAGCATCTGAATATGATATTTCTGTTGCTTTCCTTTTCTCTGTCGTCACAATAAGTAAACCCCAGCAAAAATGAGCCAAACAATGGGCAAGCTCTGGAGTGCGGGTAATTTAAATACCTGCACTGGATACCTGCACTCCAGTGCATGTATATGTATTATGTAACGATTTATCTCTGACACATTTTCAAAAGAAAGGTCCCCAGTTACTATGATACAAGTTATCTTATGAGCACATTGTACTAGGTTAAACTTTCCCAAATACTTGTGTGTATTATATAATATATAATTTATTAATTTACTAACTCTCTTAAGAAAATGCATTAATTCCCTCACTCACTTTTATATTGTATTAGTTTATACATTAAAATGCATTAATTTGCATTGTAGATTTATTAATGTATTCTGGAGCAAGTAAATTATACTAATTTAATCCGATCTATAGAAAAGAATGTTTATAGATAGTGGAAAATTACATGTAATCAGGGCTTGTCTTTATCTATGGCCTGCATGTTAATGCAAATGTATAATGTTTATTCAGTGATAACGTATTTCGAAAGACACCCAACTTTACTTCCGTATTTCTTTAAAATTTCGTTTGAGTCATTATGGCGAGCGAATCGTGACGTTATTATTTATTATTAATGTGAAATGGAATCTTTATCATCCAAGCTTTTAAACAGGTATTTTTTATCAGATTTTATGATGACTTCTTTTTTGTATATGAAATTTTAAATGAAACAGTAATGGCTAGAATAATTAAGAAAATTATTTTTTTGTACACATAGAAAAGAAATATTTTTGTATTTTTTAAAACCATTTTGCTATGGTGGAAAATATAAATAATGCATGTACATACTGATTTTGTTTCTTTCTTCTTTTTACTTTTTATTTTTATTAAGTCAGTGAGACATTCTAGACCATGGGGTAACTGAATCATGTTTTACCTCTAGGCACAGATGATATTGGCTATTGTATGGGACAGAGTCATTTTTGCTTTGATGTTCAAACTTGGCATTTATAAGTTCAGAAACCTGGGGAGACATATATTCACTGACATATGACTTTAAGTGTTTAGAGTGCTAGCCTGCTAGGACAATGTTTACTTAAATTGGTATTTCTTAAGAAATTTTTCAGTAATGTTTATCTAAAGAGGCAAAGTAATTTTATTACACAGACTCTGCCTCAAAGGCTATAGCTCTGCTGTAAATTGTTTGTTTGTTGAAACATTCATTAACTTTTCTTTTTAAATTTGTCATATAGTGAGGAAAATATCTTACATCATCTCCTGAAAATACCATACAACTGATACCCCCTGCATATGCCATACAACACATCAAGAAAAAAAGACAAAATGCCCTGTATATATCATACAACACCCTTGAATACACTGTACAACACCCATCAAATATACCATACACCACTCTTGAACATACCATACAACATCCCTGGAAAAGACCATATTATAGAACATCTCTTAAAAATAACCAAACAACATCTTTAGAATATTACCAAACAATATCCCTGACAACGTCGTACAACACCTTTGAAAATACCATTAAACATCCGTTGAAAATACCTTGAAAACACCTTACAACGTTCCTTGAAAATGCTATACATTAGATCTCTCTGTCAAAGTCATTAATCCATATTTGCTAATATTTTGTTTTATTTGGATACTGCAATAAATAGTGGACTATGATTTCCTACTCATCCTCTGCTTTTTTGTAAAATGAAAGACAAATAGTGAATGCAGGCAGTTTTCTAAGAGAGACATTGATTATAAATGTGATTAGTTTTAATTGTTTATTAAATATAAGACTTGATTGTGTAAAAAGTTTGTCAGTATATACAAACCTGTGCATTTACCCAGTATGGCTCAAACCCATGATTTGGCCAAGTGGTTCACGCGTCTAGACTAGTAATCTTTGATGCTGGCCATGTGGGTTCAAACACTGTCAGGGGCAAGTTGTTGGTTCTTTGAGCTGGTTGGTTCCAGGAACGGATTCGAGAGTGTTCCAATAAGCTTATAGCTTCCAACACAATTAAACCAAAATAAATTAGTATAAACCAATAAATATGGCTCAAACCCATGATTCCTGAGTGGATAGGCCATTGCACTTTAATCACAAAGTCACCACTGCCAATTAGGTCATATAAACTATTAGCAATGATAATTACTGAGACCTTGAGATATCAGTATTGATGCATTTGGTCATAAAAATGACAGTGTATAGCCACTGTTATTGTTGCTGTTTTACCTTTTTAATAACATATTTTTTTCAAACACCAATGACCGAGTAATATGGTAGCCTTATCATAATTTGCGTTAAAATGATTGTTGAAATTCCAGGAAGTCCTGATAACATTTTTGTATTTCTGCTGTCCCTATTGATTAAATAGTGAGCTAAGTCGTGATAAGATAAACTCTGCAGTGGTGTACAATATAGTTTGTTATCCAAGTTTCAATATGATTTATTGGTATGTTATATCACCTTAAAGTTTTTTTGATAATTGTAAGATAGGTTTTTTATTATTATTTTTTTCAAATTTGGTATTTTAGTTTTGGTGTTTAGATTTGTATCACATCAGTCAATTGTACCCCAACATGTCTTCTCACTTCCTTGGTTGCAATCCCTGTGATATTATAGTGAGGGAAATGAGCTAGGTATTTAGATATCTTCTGTCTATATGGCACTGCCTTAATTGACATTGTGGTGGTTTTGTTTTGATGCTAAAAAGTTAGGTCATTATGTCAGACTCCTTCCCCTTGTGGACGAGGGGTTGCCTTTACAGGTTGCAGTCACTCTGAGTTTAACCCTGTATGCAGTGTTAGCTCAGGCGACTAAACGGGTTTGAATAATAAATACTGGAGCCTACCGGTGAGGTGGTTTTTGACCCCTGGTGTTACTTTTAAAGTTTGTAACCTCCGTGGCTAACCAAAATCATCTTTCCTGTTTTGGTGCCCTGTGACCTAAATAGTGTATGTGCACCAAAAAACCAAACAAAAACAAAAATATGTCAGACTTAAGCATTGTGGAGTCACTTACCAGGTAGTAGGAGTTTTACAAGCCAACTTTTCCAGTGCAGGATGGGGCATTAACCAGAAGTCTGAATTTCCAAAAATCAAAGTCCTTATTTTATTCCCTGAGGCATTGTTGGATACCCACGGTAACACCATTAAAATTGATTACATGTTATGTTATGTTACATGTTAATCAACCATGAGTATCAGACGATAACCCTGCATGAGGATTAGGGGGCAGTACTTAGAGAATCGAGGCTATATAAGGTTATAATGGTGGCATAATGTTTAATGACATATTACTGTTGGACATAAAGTTGATATCTAAGAAGTTGATTATTTTAACATTCATAATCATTGGGTTTTTTCAACTTTGTTTCAGTTTCAGTGATTTCATATTTTGCATGATATAAAAAAAATATTTATTAATGAAATTATTTTTTGGTACTTATATTTGTTTTCTATATTTCAGGGCCACTTATATAAAACAGCTGACATTTAACAACAACAAGAAATAAGGACATACCAAAGTCTTTAACAATGGTCATTCTAGCCAAGGTAAAATTTAGAAATTTCAAAGATAAATTTGACCACATAATTATAATGTTTACCACCATTGTTTACTTTAAATGGATGGTAGTTTAAATAATGGCCATTAGATCTATCTGTATTTGACATTACTTATAATTTAAACTATACTTGAGGTTGTTAATACATTTGTACCAATATGTGTGAATGATATGTACTTGCACATATTAGAGTATGCCAGATAAGTACCAGTACTATTAATTGTGAATGACAGTACTGAATATTATCTTATGTCATTGCAATGGTAAGTTTCATAATCTAATACCAGCATTATTTTACAATCATGTATTATCTTTAAGATTAGGGCCAGTATCAATATACCCATACCAAGCTTTATATCTGAAAAAGTTTCTTTTAATCTGGACAAAACCTTCATTTTAAAGAAAAACTTAAAAAAATGTACTGACTGAATTGTATGCAGTGCAGATCATGATCAGAATGATGGTAGTGAATTCTGGTACCAGTGCAGGCTGATCTTGGTATTGCACTGGTTGTATGTGTACTGGTATATTTAGTAAAGGCGTGGTACCAGAAGGCAATATTTGTTTGATACATTCATCTGTAGATTGAATCCTACATAGAATATTTAAGAGAACTTTGTTTACCTAATATAGTGAATCATCATTGAATATTATATACTGTAAGCATGATAAAGCACGAAATGATGCATACTATTATTTTACATTCAACTGTTTCAATTAGATTGGCCTCAAAATGAAATGTGTTAACTATATATAAACTTATAGATGTTTGGATCTGTTGACATGTTGAGCATCAATACTTCATACTTCCTCATTTTAAGCTAATCAACCATGTGAAGACATATGCTGCATTTAACTATGTATATATGCTTCATACAGAAAAAGTTTTTTTTTTCAGTGGCAAGAAAATTACTTGCACATATTTTGTTCAAACAAAAAAATATGTTTTTTTTTTCTTTAATTGTTAGAATGGTATTATTTAAATTATAATATGAATTTTTAACATCTCATTTTCGAAGTACTGTACATGTAATTAATTAAGAATTGGTTTTTAATATGAACTTCGGGTGTGAAGAGAATTTTTCCTTTAATTTTCTATCTTTATTATAAATTTAAGATATTATTTTCCCTTGATTTTCTATCTTTATTATAAAGATATGAGTTTCCTTTGATTTTCTATCTTTATCATAAAAATATGATTTTCCTTTGATTTTCTATCTTTATTATAAAGATATGATATTCCTTTGATTTTTTATCTTTATTATTAAGATATGATATTCCTTTGATTTTTTATCTTTATAATAAAGATTTGATTTTCTGTCTTTATTATAAAGATATTGATTATCCTTTGATTTTCTATCTTTATTATGAAGATATGATTTTCCTTTGATTTTCTATCTTTATTATTAAGGTATGATTTTCCTTTGATTTTCTACCTTTATTTTAAGATATAAAACACAAAATTACACATACATTAACACTGTTATAATAAAAACAGTAGGCAATAAATCAGGGGCTACCATTTTTAAGTAAACAAGAAATATTGCCTATATATTGACTGATCGGTCAAATTGTAACATAAAATACTGCAGATATATTCACAAGTAGTTGGCATGCCCCATAAATCTTCATAAAGTATGTATAGATAAACTTACTACTAAAGTATAAACATATTTATTGCAGATATGGGGAGGGCCTAAAGGTTTAAGCAAATCACCTCTGTACACATTTTTCTCCTGTTTTTGGAATGTGAAATAATTCCTTTACATGATAAATTGATGAAGTTTTAAGAGCAAAGTCGTTTTTTTCCTTTCTTTTGTTTGAATAGAATATACAGACTTTATCTTTAACTTTTTGTCTAGTGAAGTATAAGTAGCTGTAAAATGTTGCCTGGTACTTCATCTTGGTGTCTTTACATCTCTTCAGAATTTTAATCTTAAAAAATACACCCTGCATTGTTTATTATGATTGATTTGTCTTGATTAGAATTTGGAACATTTGATTACATTTAAAAGTGTTTTGAAGAACTTAAAATTTAAGGGTCAGCAGTAAATATAAAAGAGCTAATTCTGACTGCATGCATGGAACTGTGTGTGACTCGATCCATCTATACTGGCATTTAACATAGGCCAATCATTCTTGCTTTTTCCAATCACTAAGTTACAAATTAATTATAGACTCCAATGAAATTATCAAGGACATTTTTATAGAAAAACTTAATTAATATATGACTTATTTAGGATGTGTATATGTTTTTTTCTTCACATTAGGGCTGAACTCACTTATTCAAAATGTTATATAATTTTCTGAATCAAAGTTCAGGTAACTGAAATGGATAATTCATGTAACTTTATCAAGAAAAAAACCAACATCCTCTATACAGATGCACAAGCAGTTTGTTATCTTCAGTGTTTATTTTTAAGTAGCCTTTAAAAGACCCCGAGCTAGGTGAATATTCTGTGTAATTGGTTAATATCATAAAATGTTGTTGGTTCAAACATAAAGTTTAACATGTTTAACAACAGCTTAATGATTAATTTTTACAACATTTTATGATAATTAATTACATGTTTGCAATAAATTGCACACTTTTTATTGTCTATGACATTTAAAGAGAAATGTTTTATGTGGATATTGTATGAAAACAAGAAGATTGATTTGATGAACAAGGAAGGCCACTGACAATGAAAGAGTGAACAATGCATATACTCCATGTTGTATTCAGCAAAATTGCATGTACAGTACTTAAATAAAACCTTCACCTTTCAAAAAGTGCAAATTTTATCACCTCGGTCAACAGTTTTCTTATCAGAAGCTGAGCCTCAAAAAGGGTTAAGAGATGTTTTGGGTAAACTTTAGATTACTGTAAGGCAAATTTAAGTTGTTTTTTTTCTTTCTGATAAGCTAATGCTGACACTTGAAATTAGACAGGAGAAGCCGTGTGCTATGAACTTTATATGTACTATGAACCGATTTTACAGAATGTTTAAACTTTGTCCGCCAGCTGTTAATAATACAGGGCTTAATATCATCAGACAAGCACCAGATTTGTAAGCAGGAATCACCGTGGTTTGATCCTAGAGCAAGTCAGAATTTCTTGCTGCTGATGTCAGAAATGATGTCAGACTAGTTAAAAAGTCTGTCATTTACTGATTACATTGTAATTGATATTTACTGGTTGGGTTATCGGTATTTACTGGTTGAGTTATTGGCATTTACTCAGGTTGGGTCTGAATTCCATCAAGGCATCATTTTAGAAATTTATCCTTTAAAGTGAATTGATATTCTCTTTGGTTTAAAAGTTAGTGAACATTATAGATTTTTGAAACTCTTTACTAATTAGATCTGCTGCTAAGTCTGATTTTATAAAAGAGCCTACTGGTTGGGGAGATAACTTCGGCTGGTTGATAAACTCGGCTTTTTATAATTAAATCGAGTTATCGGAATTTTTAATCTAATCAAGCTCACCATCTCAAACTATCGCTGGAATTCGACAATATCTGGAAATTTTGTCAAGTTTGGTAAGATATTTAAAAAATAACACAGACTTTTACCTGTTTGTTTACAAAACATGCCTATAAAAAGTACGGGAATCCCATTGTTGTGCGCATGTGCAGCAGATGCTCAATTTGAGGCCCGCACAGGCGTATTTTTATATATTGACCGACTACCGGTAAAGCAGACAACGTCTAAGTATACATTTTGTAGATGAAATTCAGACTCACTTTTGTCTTGCTTAGTCAGAAAAAAGGCTGATATCACAATTGTAATCTTTAAGTGGAATGGATTGAAAGACTGATGTTAAATGCTCCTTTTATATGTTAATGTGTAGGTTGAATACCACTAAATTAATTTCTTCTTCACTCTGTTAAGCTAAGCAAAAATAAATTTGAATCACTTATTCTTTAACTACATATTTCGTTATACGTTAATTAATGATAATGCATGTGTTTTTACGTAAAAATGATTTATATGTTACATAGTATGTTGCATATAAATATCGTGTTAAATATTCATTATACCAACGTAATGCTCAACAATTTTGGTAACAAATATTTTTTATTTGACATAAATGAACAGCAAAGAAATAATAAAAATGTCTAAACATGTTATTTTACGTTTTAACTTACTCATTTAAGAAGAAAAACAAAGAGCCGGAATTATCTACTCGCGCGCGTAAAAAATATCCTTTTTACGTACCTCTTCCAGGGCCTCTCAAAATTACCCGTTATGTTTCTAAATATAACTTTCATGGTGATACCAGAAAATCGAAGAGCTGAAGTTTATTGTGGTGCAAGATTCATCAGAATACGTAAACAAATAAATGAAATATGCCCTCAAAACACTGATTTTCGGCCGAGTTTATCTCCCAAACCAGTAATGTATATTATACTGATGAAATTTGTGATATTCTGGTCAGATTGTTAATTAATTGATTAATTTTATTGATATCTTCTATTAAGCTGATTTGTAATTCAATCTTGAAAATATCTTTCTCACTGAGAGTATTATGGCATCAGTCATGGTTTTATGATTTAAACTAAATAGTAATTAATATGATGGTTAGATCTGAGGTCCCAGGGGAGTTCGGGGATGGGGAGGAGAATTGTCTAGGAGACATTTTAACCATTACTGGCAAGTTTTCAATATTTCTCCCAGGCCCGTTAATGTCTTGATGTTTAAAATCGTGGCAACATGACCACATGTATGGTATTTACAGCATTTCTTTCCCCTGATTTCATTGTTAATTTTGTTTATTTAGTCTTTTAAGGGCTTATCAAAGATAGATTTTAAATGTGTGCAAAGGTGTTTCTTGTTTGTGTATGGTCGAGGCTGATAAAATATCGTCAAATCGTAGAAATTTTGGATGTCATTTGGATTTTGTTGACGAGTGGTCCTTCTGACATTTTATTTGGAATTTAAACTGTAAGATGAATATGTTTAATTGTAGGGTAAACATTTAAGTAATGCAGTTTTAAGTTTCGTTAC